ACAGAACTGGCCTGTCCAGCCAGATTTACAATCACACTTATCCATTTGAATGCATTCTCCATTACCCTCATTGCAGACGTGTTTTACATCTTGTGAGATTGTTCCATTACAGGAGTGAACATTACATAATGGACCAAACCAACCTGTATTACATTGGCAAGTATTAACATCAGTACAGTTACCATGAGTAGAGCAAACTGTAGCGTCTGTAGAAATAACGCCATAACATTTAGGAATAGTACAGAACTGACCAGCCCAATTTTGGTTACACAAACACAACTCTGTTCCAATGCACTGACCATTTCCTCCATTACAAACGTTTTTCACATCTTGTGAACTAGTTCCATTACACGAATGAATTGAGCAGTTACTACCAAACCATCCCTTATTACAATGACAAGTGTCAGCATTAATACATTGACCATGACTTGAACAAACTGAAATATCACTTGAATTCACTCCAAAACATTTAGGAATTTCACATAATTGACCTGTCCATGTTTCATTACATGAGCAAAGATCAGTGTCAACACATTGACCTCTTCCTCTATTACAAACATTTTGTAAATCTTGAGAGCTTGTTCCATTACATGAATGAATTGAACAATCAGCTCCAAACCATCCATTATTACATTGACAAGTATTATTTGAAATACAGGAACCATGTTGACTGCAACTTTCCCCTCCACTAAAACCAAAACAAATAGGTATATTACAATTATCACCAGTCCAATCTCCGTTGCATGTACAAGTATGATCAGAATTGCAAGTACCATGTCTGCTACAAACAGTGGCATTATCTGCTGCAATACCAAAACAGGTATACATATCACAATTAGATCCAGTCCATCCATCATTACATTTACACTTATTTGATGCATAACATAAACCATTTCCAGAACAAACAGAGCTATTATATGAGGCAATTGAATAACAAGTAAAAAAATCGGTACAGTATTGACCAGACCATCCAGCATTACAGGAACAAGTATCATAAGAAGTGCAGTTACCATATCCATTACACACATTTGTTTCATTAAAGTGGATTTCGTTACAAGTTGGGAATTCACACTGATCACCAAAACCTGAACTACAAAGGCAACTGCCATCTTTTTGACATTGACCATGACCATTACAAACAGTCTCATTATTACTAGCAATTCCATTACAATAATTTGGATCTGTTAAATAAGCAATGAATCCATTGGATGCAGTTGACACAGCAACAGGAACATTCTTGCCATCAAATTTTGGATTTAAGCCAAGGCTTCCAAAAATTGATATGAATTGATTATTATTATTCTTAGCTCCATAAGAATAATCATCTTTTGAGCCTCCTTCTT